CGCGCTGCTCGACAGCGCCGGCCTGCCCCGGTCCCGGGCCACCACCGTCACGCGGTGCTCGGACGCCTGCTCGCGGTCCAGAGCGCTCGCCGTCACCACCTTGTACGAGCCGCCCGGCGACGCCACGATCGACAGCGGCGCCTCGCCCGACAGCTCGCACGACACCTGACCGTTCTCGCCCGAGTCCGGGTCGTTCACTTTCAGCAAGGCCACCACAGTTCCGACCGGCGCGTCCTCGGGCACGGGGCTTGACAACGACAGAATGGTGATCTCGGGCGCGTTGTCGTTCTCGTCCATGATGTCGATCTGCACTTCGCAGTGACTAGTGAGCCCACCGCCATCTCTCGCCTCTAGTCGGAAGTCGTATTTACTCTGCCCTTCGAAATCGAGGGGACCCGTCGTTCTGACCTCGCCCGTCACACTGTTAATAGTGTACAATTTGCGGATGCTTTCCGGGACGTTGCCGAAGGAGTAGGAGACCCTCCCGTTAGCGCCCGCATCAGCATCCGTCGCCTGCACCTGCAGCACCAAAGACCCCGCCGGCAGATTCTCCGCCACACTCACCTCGTAGACGCTTTTGCTGAACACGGGTGGGTTGTCGTTGGCGTCTGTGACGTTGATGAGAACCTGGACAGTCCCGGACCTCGCGGGGTCCCCGCCATCCACTGCCATCAGCACTAGCTCAAAGGAGCTCTGCTTCTCCCGGTCCAACGCTCTCTCTAGGACTAATTCCGGCTGCTTTTTTCCACCGCGAATCTCCTTCATGGCCAAAGTGAAGGACGGGTTGCTGGTGAGCTGGTAAGTCAGAAGGGAGTTGCTGCCTACGTCCATATCTCGGGCCTCCTCCAGCGGAAATCGAGCCCCGGGAATCGTCCATTCACCTATCTCCAGTTCCAGAGCAGCTTTGCTGAAGGCCGGGGAGTTGTCATTCACATCCTCAATGGCCACCTCGACGGGGAAAATGTTCAACGGGCTGTGCACCAGCACCTCGAAGATGACAGAGCAGCTCGTCGACTCGCCGCACATCTCCTCGCGGTCCAGCCTCTCGTTCACGTACAGGTTCCCGTTCTCCTCATTCACCGTGAAGTATTTCAGCTGCTTCTTGCCGGCAGACGCCACCTGCAGCTTGCGCGCCGGCAGCTCGTCCGCGCTGAGCCCCAGGTCCCGCGCCAGCGGCCCCACGAGCGAGCCTCTGCCCAGCTCCTCGGC